TCTGGAACTAAAATCGGACACTCAACTTCACGAACCACTGCTGAAACATACGAACGCCTGCTTCCTTTAGTTGCCGGACAGCCAGGAGAGCGCCATTCGGTAGTTTGCTTCATACGACCAAGGGGAGCAATCGTTCCTATGAGCCAGGAGGATCCATTCGTGACTTTATTCGTTTTTATGCCATTTTCTGAATTGACCGACCACACACGCTGAATTCGTGGAACTGTTTTGGGCAGGGGCCTCGTGTGTGGTCAGTAAATTATAACTTCCACACTTTTTGAGAACCCCTGAACCGATATGGGTGAAATTTGAATATGTTGGTCTCCCAGATTGGGGCTATCAGGGGATATGTAATTTGTGGGGATACCCATTGTATAAAGGTGTTTTCTAATTTTTGGGACAATTGTGTGCCCTCTGCCTGGAGATAATTGGGTTATTCCTTAATTTATCTCAATATCCCCCCCTTTGTGAACTGCAGAAGGATTCTCATAAAAGCCAATGTGGCATCAATAAAAGTTATTCCTGTTACACCCTTCATCAGGGCCAGATTAAGAGCCCAGTGGGCCTGGTGCTGACAATGTGATGGGGCCTAATTACAGAATTTATCGACTAAAGACACAAAAACAGTCATACCTCTCAAGCGTCATGTATCTGATGGAGTTGGTGTTGGAGGGAAACTCAAAGGATGCAGCTATAAGAAAACACATACTCTATGCTTATCTCTCTCTAATTTATGCTTTCATCTTTCAAGTAAATCCATACCCCCTAACAGCAGTGTCTAGTGAAGTAGGAAGTCAATGAGCAGAGTAAAAGGGTCGGCCACTGAAACAAATCACGTGACCGGAACTGCTAAAAGGGGCGAACAAAAAGGGGGTATGTCTGTCCAAAGAATTGGAAGGTCAGCGTAGCATCAGTGTCCCTATGTATCACAGTGTATATGTCTGTGTGTGTGTCAGTATTTATGTATGTCAGTATGCATGTATGTCTGTGTGTGTGTATGTCTGTATGTGTCTATCTGTATGTGTGTGTGTATGTCAGTATGTATATTTATATATATGTCTGTATGTCAGTATGTATGTATGTGTGTATGTATATATCAGTATGTATGTCAGTATGCATGTATGTCTGTGTGTGTGTATGTCAGTATGTCTGTATATGTATATATATGTGTGTGTGTGTGTGTACATGTATGTATGTCAGTATATATGTCTGTGTGTTTGTCAGTATGTATATATGTCTGTATGTATGTGTGTATGTATGTATGTATGTCTGTGTGTATGTATGTCTGTGTGTGTGTTTGTCAGTATGTATATATGTCTGTGTGTGTATGTCAGTATGTATGTCTGTGTGTGTGTGTGTCTGTCTGTCTGTGTGTGTGTGTGTGTGTATGTCAGTATGCATGTATGTCAGTATGTATGTCTGTGTGTATGTCAGTATGTATATATGTCTGTGTGTGTGTCAGTATGTATATATGTCTGTGTGTGTGTGTGTCAGTATGTATATATGTATGTCAGTATGCATGTATGTCTGTGTGTGTGTGTATGTCAGTATGCATGTATGTCAGTATGTATGTCTGTGTGTGTGTGTCAGTTTGTATATATGTCTGTGTGTGTGTCAGTATGTATATATGTATGTCAGTATGCATGTATGTCTGTGTATGTCAGTATGTCTGTATGTGTCTATCTGTATGTGTGTGTGTATGTCAGTATGTATATATATATATATATATATATATATGTATGTATGTCTGTGTGTGTGTCAGTATGTATGTATGTGTGTATGTATATATCTATCAGTATGTATGTCAGTATGCATGTATGTCTGTGTGTGTGTATGTCAGTATGTCTGTATGTATCTGTGTATGTATAAATCTATCTGTGTGTGTATGTATGTATATCAGTATGTATGTGTATGTATGTCAGTTTGTATCTATGTCTGTTTGTCAGTATGTATGTATGTATGTCTGTCTGTATGTGTGTGTGTGTGTATGTCAGTATGTGTGTGTGTATCTGTATATGTGTCTATATGTGTGTATGTCTGTTTCAGTATTTGTGTCTGTTAGTATGTGTGTATCTTTCTGTGTGTGTGTGTCTGTGTATTCCTGTGGGCGGGATTTGGAGGCAGGGCTTGGAGGTGGGCACCCGGGGGCCCAGACCTTGAGCTGTTTTAGGGGCCCCACAATTTCTGATGGCGGCCCTGACTTGCCCGCTCAATCCTGTCCCGTCTCACCTCATCAGATCTCTCTCCCCTTGTCCTGTGCCTCCCTTAACGCACATCTTCAACTGCTCTCTCTCTTCTGGCGTTGTCCCCGCTGACCTTAAACATACCACTGTAGTACCTATCCTGAAAAAAACATCTCTTGACCTGTTCTCCCTTTTTGACATATCCCTTCTCCCTTTTTCCTCAAAGCTTCTGGAAAGACTTGTCTTTACCTGTGTGTCTCACTTGCTCAATTCCAACTATCTACTTGACCCTCTTCAGTCTGGCTTCTGCCCTCTCCACTCTACTGAGACTGCTCTTATCAAAATTACTAATGACCTAATCGCAGCTAAATCCAAAGGCCACTACTAAATACTAATTCTTCTTGACCTAACTGCTGCCTTTGACACCGTTGATCATGCTCTACTTCTTCAAACTCTTCAATCGCTCGGTCTCTGTGACTCTGTCCTCTCGGGGTTTTCCTCTTATCTCTCCAAATGCTCATTCAGTGTCTCCTTTTCCAAGGATACTTCCTTCCCTCGTCTTGTCTCGATTGGAGTTCCCCAAGGCTCCCTTTCTATTTTCTCTTTATACTGCCTCTCTTGGCAAACTTCAATGCTGCGTAATTTGGATTCCACTACCACCTGTACGCTGATGACACCCAGATATATCTCTCCTCCCCGGACCTCTCCCCTGCCGTCCTGCAACGTGTCAGTGCTTGCCTTTCTTCCGTCTCTGACTGGATGTCCTCCCGCTTTCTGAAACTCAGTCTCTCTAAAACTGAACTTCTTGTCTTTCCTCCTCCTAATACTGATCCACTCTCTCACTCTCCCTTCATGTCAGTGCTACCCACATAAGTCCATCCTTGCAAGCATGCTGTGTTTGGGAAAAAGTATGTTTGTTTTTTTCTGTGCTTGGAGATAATTGGATTAGATTAGTACAGTTCCTGATCTCCCAGGCACATAGGAGGAATTATCTAATTATGTATGGAAATGTCCTGGATCTGAGAGCCAATGCAATTGTGTATTTGTTTCGACTGTGGCTTACTCTCTGGTCCAGGGGCGAGTGCCCCTTGCGTGGGGACATACGTATAAAGCCAGTTGTGGCTGCCATTAAAGTATTCCAGCTTGTACTCCCAGAACGATGTGTCGTCTGGTTACTGGAAGGGGAAAGGGCTTATCACTGTTCCAGCTTGTGCCAGCACGGAGGATTCAATGGGGAAAGTGCTTGTAAGGACTAGAGCTCCCATAACTGAGTGTCGTCCAGTGCCTGAGGGTGTCTAGAGCGAGTTCCACATTCGGCTCAAGGAGAGAGTGGTTCCAAGGCCCCAGTCAAGCCACGGCGACTGTGGGCAGAAGTGATGCGATTTGTCTCCTGTTCCAGCTAGGAAGCAGTCCTTGGCAGAGGTACCCAGTCAGGGGTACAGGGAGCTCCGCTACACTTACAGTTTGCACTATGATGTGTTTGTTTTTTATCTTACAGGTTTTACCTGTGGGTTTATATTGTGAGGCTTGTTTTCCAATTTGTGCGCATTCACCGTATTTGGTTCCATTTTTACGTATGTATTAAGTGTGGGAGTGTCATCACACTTGAGTGATTTTTTGGGGGGAGCTGTTGTACCTTACAATTCTTATTAGTAATTGTACCTCCTACTTACAGCACACACTTACAGTGCCAGGACCGACTGCTGCGGATTGACTTATCACAGGGAGTGTTAGGGTAAAGCAGCAATGTTCCATTATAGGGTTTGTTTGCTCTAACCAATGGGAGAGAAGATATGCTGCTGCTTCCAACCCATTGGTAGAGGGGAAAATGCCAATCCTGGGTTCAACGGACCAACCTGGACCTCAATGGGCTCACAAGGTCCAAATGGTGATAGAACATGACATGACAAAACTGGAAAGTAATAGAATATAATTTGTTATATGTTTTATTATGTACAGAGTTCCATACTGTCTCTTTACTGCGGAGAAATTAATGACTCTCCGTCCCTCTCTGTTCCTTGGATTCCCCTCCCCAAATATCGATACATTTCCAGGATTTCATTCACACAGTTTGGCTTTCTTAGGATATAGAATTCAAATAACTAATATATTGATTATATCCCAAAGAATTATCTGGAACAAATTCCGTTACTCTGGTTCGGTCTCACAGATCCAACGCATGATTGAGGTGCAGTTATCAATCTTCAAACGGCCCCCAAACTTTGCACATTTCTCCATATCTTTCATATTCTCCCTGATAGTAACAAATGATATAGAATTATAAAAATCGTAATAACTGAGTTCGCTACTGATAACAGACTGCAGATTTGTATTTGTGTTTCTAAAAGTTTGAAATATTAAGGAATAAAACTTTTAAAAGTATTATACATAACTAGTTTAAAAATTCCAGAAATGAAATAATTATGCATATATTTTAAAGATCACAATATGATGAAAAAAATGCTAAACATAGATATTTTAATATTTTCCTAAGAGCAATCTTTAAGCCATCTGCTAATCTGCTAACATGATTTCCTAAAATAATCTTACATCCAATATAATTAGCGTATAGCAAGATAGATCGCGAGTCTCAATGCTTTAAGCACAGTAAGTGTCTGTTACAGAGTTTGGTTCTCTAAGATAAAAGCATTCATTGCGTTCCCCAGAATTAGTAAAAAACACAAATTAGTTTTCAGTAGGAATATGATTTAAGGCTGGTGGGATATTTCTCCTTTTCATTAAGTGTCGAATGAGTCATCGTTTGCTCCAAGTACAAATATTACCTTCCCTTGTAACGTATAATTTTCATTTTCTAAACTTAACTCAAGTCTCTGTTAACAGCAGATAAGCATGTTGTTCATATTAACATTCTATCTGTTATGATATGCCCATGCTATCCATCAAGGTATGCACATTCTATCTATCATGGTATGTACATTCTATATGTCATGGTATGCACATTCTATCTGTCATGCTATGCCCATGCTATCCATCAAGGTATGCACATTCTATCTATCATGGTATGTACATTCTATATGTCATGCTATGCACATTCTATCTGTCATGCTATGACCATGCTATCCATCATGGTATGCACATTCTATCTATCATGGTACGTACATTCTATATGTCATGCTATGTACATTCTATCTATCATGGTATGCACAGTCTATCTATCATGGTATATACATTCTATCTATCATGGTATGTACATTCTATATGTCATGCTATGTACATTCTATCTATCATGGTATGCACATTCTATCTATCAAGGTATTCACATTCTATCTATCATGGTATGTACATTTTATCTATCATGCTATGCACATTCTATCTGTCATGCTATGCCCATGCTATCCATCATGGTATTCACATTCTATCTATCATGTTATGTACATTCTGTCATGCTATGTACATTCTTTATGTCATGCTATGCACATTCTATCTATCATGGTATATACAGTCTATCTATCATGCTATGTACATTCTATCTATCATAGCATGCACATTCTATCTATCATGGTATGCACATTTTATCTATCATGCTATGTACATTTTATCTATAATGGTATGCACATTCTATCTATCATGGTATGCACATTTTATCTATCCTGCTATGTACATTCTATCATGCTATGTACATTTTATCTATCATGCTATGTACATTCTATCTATCATGGTATGCACATTCTATCTATAATGGTATGCACATTCTATCTATCATGCTATGCACATTCTATCTATCATGGTATGTACATTCTATCTGTCATGGTATGTACATTCTATCTATCATGGTATGCACATTCTATCTATAATGGTATGCACATTCTATCTATCATGGTATGTACATTCTATCTGTCATTGTTTATATATTTTATCTATTATGCTATGCACATGCTATCTATCGTGGTATGCACATGCTATCTATAATCGTATCTGTGTAAGTCCAAGCGTGCTATAAGAAAACATTTATTTTTATTTATCAGCCAAAAGTCATTAAACATACACATTGGTATTTATTACCGCCTTGATCCAATAATCCTTTTCAATCACAGTGAGAATCCTCTAGGGAAAAAAAACAAAGAAACAGGAACATTA